CGCGGGGCTAACCTGCTGAGGCGTGGCCACACGCAAGCGGGGAAACCCGTCGTGCACCTGGTGGACGCATACTGCAAGTCTCATCGACTGCAAGTGCGTTCGAGCTACTCTGCGGAAACACTGGCAGCAGCCCACAACTTGGAAGACTGCTACCCGACCATTGTAACGCTCCACGAGCTACACTCGGGACCATTGACCCCCACACAGTTGAAGAACATATTGGAAATGGGTGGTCTATGTATCAAAGTCACTCTGACTATTGATGCCGAGTCTGTCTTCAAATCTTTGTCTAGCAAGGATCTGAAGAAGCCCACAGAGTGTACTCTGCTTGGGCACATCAGCTGGATTCGCCAGATGATGGAACGTGGAATCGTGGAAAGCGTCCAATGGTGTGACACGCGGGATATGACTGCCGATGGTCATACCAAAGGTAGCATTGACCGCGCGTTGCTCCTACAAGTAATGGCCGGCCAGCAATCCTTCAAGCACGAGCTGAAGAAACATACGCCGTATAGGGCGGGCAGGTCGTCTCAGGACGGCCCTGCCTCCCGAGCCAGCGGGGAAACCCGCGGGCAGGTGCGCTTTAGCAGCGAGGAAACTCGCCGGTAGCGAGGCTACTCGCGCGCCCTTTCCTTGTAGGCAGCCGCTGCTGCTTAGCACTGTTTTTCCGCATAATAGAAGTGCGGTACCTGCTCGTCTCCTCCCCCTCCGACTTTAAACGGAGAAGGTTAAAGGCGAGGTATAAATCGAGCATGTACCGCTGCCGTGCCTGGCTCAAGCCGGGCCCGGCATGATATGTGACTGTGCCTCACCGAGGCGCACTACTTGCATCTGAGATCGGAAAACATCCTTTCCATTGACGATGCCCATCTTACTCTATACTCCAGATCCCATGCTTCGTCTCGCTCTCTTGCTCATGCGATATGAACCAAAGCCTGGGATATGGCAACGCCTAAGGCGTAACACATACCTAAGCTTACCAGCCTGTTTTCGACTTCTCCTAAGCGCTCTTGAAGTCATCTGCCCTCCCCAGGAGGCCCACATGTGGCCAACACCTTGGTAAGATCAATGATTTTGGCAGTCTCGCCGAGGCCTCTTGGAGCGTCTTGGGTGCCTATGGGGGGGCCTCTTGGGGCCCCTTGGGGGTCTCATGAGAGCCTCTTGGGGGCATCCTGGGGGCCTCTTGGGGGCTTTGGGGGCCACATGGTGTCATCTTGGGGCCATCTCGGGGCCTTTTGGGGCCTCCTGGGCCCCTCTTGGGGCCATCTTGGAGGAGATCGATCACAGGAGGCGGGGACTCACTTAGCCCCCCATCAGGAGGCCCAAATGGGGCCAACACCGTGGTAAAACCAATGATTTTGGCTTCCTCGCCGAGGCCGTTTTGGACGCTCCAACGCGTCGGGGAAACCCCCGTCGAGGTCCAGGGGAGGGGGTAATGGGGGAGGGGTCAAGACTCCCTCCCCGCCCACAAGCCGTCCCGCTCACTCCCACCCGCCCCCCCAACACATACGTAGCACCCGAGCTTGGGCCGAGCCGCAGCATATTCAGCAGTCGTCTTTGGATGGGCAGCTACTGGGGGCGAATCCGCCGCCGCCGCCGCCGCCTCCGCCGCCGCCGCCCGCCGCCGCCGCCGCTGTCCGCTGCCGCCGCCGCCGCCGCTGTCCGCCGCCGCCGCCCGCCCCGCCGCCCGCCGCCGCCGCCGCCGCCGCCGCCGCCGCCGCCGCCGCCGCCTGCCGCTGCCGCCGCAGCCGCTGCCGCCACCGCTGCCGCCGCCGCCGCCGCCACCGCCGCCGCCGCCGCCGCCCCCGCTGCCGCCGCCGCGACCGCCGCCGCCACCACCGCAGCCGCCGCAGCCGCTGCCCTCGCCGCAGCCGCCGCAGCCGCCGCCGCCGCCAAGTGCATTTTGTATTGTTTTGGAAAGGGTTGGTGGGTGGAGACCGCACCGGGTTCTCTGCGCATGCTCCGAATTTGGAGGCATAGTGTGTTTTGTATGGTTTTTTACAAAAGGGATGGTGGGGGGTGCCCGCATTGTTCCTGGTTGGCTCCCAGTCTCCTGGGTGAGGGCGTGTATACTAATAGGGAACAGTGATAAACCCGTCCCCGAAGGGGAACAAGGAGGGGTAAAAGAGGAAACGCTCTAGACCACCTACGCCCAAAGGGCTGGTGGGATAAAGACCACCATCGTAGTCCAAAGCCCAGGGACAAAGGCCGCGCCCTCGAACCCGGACAGTGCGGCAGCGCAGCGGGACACCAGTGTATCCGACAATTCGGTCAGCAGCCGAGGGTGGATCTCGTCCCAATTCGGCGATTACAAAAGGTGCGGTTACGCCGGGGTGCGGTTTGCGATCGGCGCCGTGGGGGGCCTGGGGGGCCCGACGCTGTCCTCGTCGAGCCTCTGCGGGGCGCGGCGGAGAGCTCCATCGAGGCCCCCGCTTGCCTCCCAGGGTGCCCCCCCCGGGTGCCAGTTGCAAACCGCACCCTCTGCAAACCACACCCTTTGGAGCCGCCGACCAATGCAGGCTCTTCCTCCTGCCATAGACGAGGATGGCACAGCTAACAAGCGGAGCTGATGTGCTTCAAGGCTTGGTCCACCTGCCAACTAGCCGCAGCAGATTCATCTGCTGTGGGATCCTTGGTCCACAATGGAAGCCACTCCTGCAGCGCACCCTCCACATCCGGAGAGCCACCTGGAGGTAAAGACTCCGCGTCGCCAGGCAAGACCATCGGAATGGGCTCCACAACCTTCGGCTGGATCAGCTTGTGCGCCGCTCTCCCCGGGCCAGGCGGAGCCGAGCTGCAGGACTCCCCCCCGAGCTTGGCCGTGGCCGGTGAGGCTGGTCTTCCGCGAGTGGCCACTTCCACCTCACGTCAAAGGTGCTGGAACCACGCCGATGCAGGGCTACCCCTCTCAGCCATGGCAGGCCACTCGTCGCTCGCCACCTTGCGGAGCGCCTCGGCGCCAGAGATCGACTCAGGAAGGACTGAGGAGGAGCAGGAGGAGGAAGAGGAGGAGCAGGAGGTGGAGGAGGAGGAGGAGGAGGAGGAGGAGGAGGAAGGACTGGGGACTTGGCTTGCAAGTACAGGCGTGCTCGCATGGCCTGCCGCTTGCCGCGGGACCCGCGGCCCGCCTGGCCCCAGCGCGGCCTGGCCTTCCAGACGTGGAGGAGATTCCGCCGGGCCGCAGTGCCAGCAGATGCGTGGAATCGCCGCTTGCCCTCATGCACCTCCAAGCGGGGCCTTTCGATCATGCGTATGCCCAGCCCCCGTCCACGATAGTGATGGGCATCCTGCGCATTGACCAGCTACGCGCGAATCAAGGGAGCGCTCTGCAGGGTCGAGCCACCTGGCGCTTGACTTCTGCAGGCAATCCGAGGGCTCGAACAGCCCCGCCTGTTCTAACCGCCCTTCATCAGTGGACTGCCCTACGCGGCCTCACAGAGTCCTCGGAGTCGGGGTCCTTCTTTGGCCACTGAGAAAGCCTGGCGGGGATCCTCAATCCAGACAGTGCCCGCTCCAAGGCGCAGCGCACTCGGTCATGTGTGCCAGATGGCGCGCCTTCGAGGGCCTGAAGGGGCAGCAACATGGTGTGCCAGAGTGCGCGGCGCGACGAAAGAGTCGTACTCGTTGCCCCCGCAGGTCGGGGCGCCAGGGTTGACAATGATGCCCTCCACTTGGTGCCAGTCGCGGGGCGCAGGGATGTATGATATGAGCATCCGCATTCCAGTCGGGGCCGATGATGGCCAGCGCAGGGTACTGCCAGCAGTAGATGCCCCCTCAGAGAGCAACTCCAGGCTGTCGCCCGTCAAGCCAACCGATGTGACCATGCCGAGCGAGGTGGCGAGGACCACGGGCCCTTCTCCAAGGTGGGGATCTTCCTGGCCACGATGCGGCGCGACCGTTCCGAGGGTATCGGGATGCCGCCAAGGACGCCAATGTGCGTGCCAACGCAGAGCCCTAACCCCCTTCCCGACAGCTAGGCGCCCTTTACCGGCCCGCCCCTCGGAGGGCCAAGGGCGAGGAGGAGTTTTCGTCCTCAGCACCACTGCCTGGCACCGCCAGCTGCCTCAGCGTCGGGGGGCCTCGTCTCCTGAGCGATTGCCACGACGAAACTACGCCCAGCCGCGACATTCAATTCCATGATGGCGCGAGCGCCCTGCCGCGCGCCACCGTTGCCAGTGGCGACCTGACGATGGGATGAGCGCCCGCAGCTCGACGCAACCAGGTAGGCTCTTCCCGCACGGGCCCGACGGGAGGGGGGGTGAGTGCAGAGGCAGTCGGGGTCGACGTAGAAGCAGACGACGCCACCAACGATGACGCTGCAGCCTTCATACTGCCCGCCCCCAGTCCATCCACCAGATAGAATGGCTGCCCACCTCGAGGAGCATGAGCCCGAACACTGTCAAACCACGCTCGAAACAGATCGATCAGGTAGTCTAGCTCGGGCCAATGATGGTTGACGACCTCATTCCGTGCGCCTTGGGTTTAGAAACCGCAAGTACGTGGTGAAAATTCTAGCGACGGAGAGCTCCTCGACGCCGAGCAGCGCGGCGCGCCTCCGACACCGCCTCGGCCACAGCCCCCCTGCAGGCCCACGCCGCAGAAGGGAAGCCGCGCTAAGCTCACGCTGATCATCCAAGTTGAGCACAGTCGCGCGCCACGCCTCGCACCAGTCTGATTAGGAGTCGGCAGCCACCTGCCGCCCCAACTGACATTCCAAACCCAGCGCGCAGACCAATCTACAGAGTCGCCTTCCAACGCAGCCCGAGCTCGTCCAGGATCAAGCCGAGCATGACCATTGAACCCAGGCGGTGGTAGACGCATGCCAAACGGCCCGGCACAAAGATGCTCAGTGGGCAAATCCAGGCGCTGCCAGTCGCTCACAGTGATGTAAGAGAAGGACATTATGGGACAGATGAGCCATCCATCATTTCACTTTAGCAAGGGGAGAAGGCCGACGAAGCATGCCCACCGCTTCGTCTGCCGAATGCGAGCTGGAGCTTCTACGCGCGCGCTTCTTCGTCGTCAGCTAGTGGGGACACTCCCCCTGCGGCGATCTCGGAGCGCATCTGCGCCACGTCAGGCTCTGGGGCCTCAGGCGCAGCAGAGGGCGTGGCCTCGACCACCGAGGTTGCGCCTCTCAACGTCGCTCGGCTGACAGGTGCCTCGAGCCGCGCCAGCGCCTGCTGCGAGCACTGCGGAATCTGTTCGCACAGCGTGATCGCAAAGCCCCATAGGTCGGGCACCTGGACGCCGAGCTCGTCCAGGCCTTGCTCCAGCAGCAGCCGCGCCATGTCCGAGCCCAGCTGCAAGACGGTAGCCTCCGTGGATGCACCCGACGACGGCGCGGCGAGCGCCGCCCCCTGAGACGCCAGGGCCGCCCGCTGCGTATTCAGCCGCGCCAGGAGCTGCTCCTGCTCCGAGACACGGGCGTCCGCTTCCTGGAGCGCCTTCTCCGCGTCGACCACGCGATTGCGGCAAGCGTTCTCGTGCATCTTGGGCTTGGGGAGCTTCTGCTCAGCCTCGCCCACTCTCTGCAGGAGCGGCCGTCGCCGTGATGCCACGGGGGAGAATCGAGAAGGTGCTGCTCGAGCGCCTGCCGCTCGGCGCGAAGGTCGGCCTTGATGCTGCTCCAGATCCCACCCGCCAAGGAGGCGATGGTGCCGAGCTTCTTATCAGTGGCCGCGATGCGGTCCCTGCCTGGGGCCAGTTCGCACTCGCCATCGTCATCCTGGCACGCCGTGGAGGAACGCCCAGCTGGTGACTGCTGAAGCTTCGCTTTCTCGAGCTCGCGCTCCAGACGCTTGATCTGCGCCTGGAACTTGGCCATCTGCCCATCCGCGCTGCCAGGCGGCCCTTGAGTCCGTGTCGACTGCATGACCCAGGGCGCACGCTTGGAAGGGACAGCAGGCGTGACATGCCCACCAAAGCAGGCCGACTTCGCGATGTCGCAGGAAAACATGTCCTGTTCTCGGCCAAGTTGAGAACGGGTTTGCTGGTCCTGGGGCGCACGCGAGTCGTGCGGTGCCACTTGTGGGGCCCCACGTCCTTCGCCATGTTCTCCCTGGTGCAAACCACACGATCACCCGAGGACTCTCGCTGGGGCTGCTGATCCCTCGAGCGCCGCGGCGACCCAGAGAAGGTTGGACGACTGCCGCGGACTAACCGTATCCCTGCAGGAACGGAGGCGCGGAGCCCCCAAGGTGCAGACGTCTTGAGCCAGGATGGCTACGGGGTAGGGGTAGGAGGAGGAGTAGGAGGAGGAGGCGGAGGAGGAGGAGGAGGAGGAGAAGGAGGAGGAGGTGGAGGAGGAGGAGGAGGAGCAGGAGGATGAGGAGGAGGAGAGGGATGAGGAGGAGGAGGAGGAGGATCAGGAGGAAGAGGAGGAAGGGCGTCGGGATGAGGTGTGTGTGGGGGGGGGGGGGGCGCTGCCTGGGGAACAAGGAACTCCATAGGGGCACAGTCCCACACAGGGTGGCACGTGGTCGGTGCAGGGACTGGAGGACCACCAGGGAACCATCAGAGGGGGTCACGAGGGGGCCGCGAGGACCGCCAGCGGGCCACAAGGGGGCCGCCACGGGAGCAGGAGGGCGGGGCGTCGGAGGGCTGGGAGGAGGAGAAAGTTGTTGAGGTGGGGGTCGAGGAGAGAAACGGTGGGGAGGGAGGAGGGCTCACGCCTCCGGCGTCGTGAGCTTTTCAGTGCGTGGGTTCTGGGGCTCCCGATCCATCCCGCGGGCTCCCTTCCTTTGGGCGGATCCTGAGAGCGTGAGAACGGCGCTCGAGCGCGGAAGAGCTACCACATATTCCTGCCTTGTCTGTGTCAAGTCGTCAGGGGGCTCATAAGGAGGAGAGGTGGTAAGGCTTTCGGGCTGCGCACAGGCAGCCTGGGCTGGCCTCAACAGGCCCCCGAGCAGTCGGAGCGTTCTCGGCACCTCAAGCAGGGGGTGCCCCAGGGGCGCCGCCGCAGGCGGCGCCGGGGTGCTGAAAGCGCCCTGGGCTGCTCGGAGGCGCCGCCGAGCAGGGGACCACCTGGGGGGCTCTAGCCCTACAGTCGGCCCGGTCTAGTAGGTCGACCCTGCCGGCTCAAGGGTACCCTTGTGTCCTGTGCCTCGCGACACGTGCCTTCTTACACTCCCATGGCGATGTGGCCCTCGGAAGGGTCATGTGTCCTCTCGCGCGTCCTGTCCAATCAAGGCCGAGTGTACACTGTACACAAAGGAGGGGGGGGGGGACAGCGGGACAGCAGGCGGCGGGCGGCAAAGGTCCGTGGTGGCCAGGGCCATCTCCCGCGTGCTGCGCAACCTCCCCTTCATCGCCGCGGTCGGCGGGCAGCCCTCGTCTTCACGGGGGGTTGTGCAGCCCGCAGCCTCACGGAGCCGTCTGGGGGGGAGGCGCGCCAACACCACGCAGTGGAAATCTATCTTTCCTGCTTGTGCACCCATCCCCACAGCTGCGGTCCAGAGTTTTGCGGAGCCCAAGAAAGAAAGGGCGGTCCGCTTTCGAAAGCATCGATTATTGAGCCTCCTTGATCCTCACGCATGCTCGCTTGGATGCAGTCGGGGAAACGGTGGTTGGAGTGAGAGCAGCCATGGATGCATGTGTGTACATATGTACGGATATACACACATATACACATATCTATCTATATGTATGTATGTGTGTATATCTATATGTGTACCCAGCTGCCTCTGGCAATTCCGCCATCGTGCCAGCTCAACATTCTGGGTGGCAGCTACTCCAGAAGGCAAGGAAAGCTGCTGGGTGCCTCTTGGGGCAGAAGGCTCGAACTCGTGGTTCGTGTTCCCACTCTTGGGCCCTTCTTGGGGCCGTCTTGGGGCTCTTTTGGGCAGTCTAGGGCTGTCTTGGGACGCCTCAGCGGCCTCGTTGGCCGTCTTGAAGCCATCTTGGGCCGTCTCGAGGCCAACGTGGCTCGTCCTGAAACAATGTCACTGGGTCGTCTTGGAGGCATCCGGGCCTCGAATCTGTCGCATTCTGCCAGGGGTTGTGGCCTCGAGACTAGGGGTGGTGCACACGACTGGGTGCGATGAGAGCGGGGGCCTTGAAGACTACAGAAGCCCTGCAGGGCAGCACTTGGCATTTGTGACGCCTCAGCGTGCCAGGAGGCACTATGGTGGATACACACGCACGCATATAGATACACTCACATATGTACTCATATGTATGCGTGTATATATACATTAACTGTGTGTGTAGATGTAGATTCATCGATCGAGATGACTATTTAGGTATGTATTTACACATGTATTATAGACCGAACTATGTATATACATCTAAAACAGATGTACAGCTCCATAATTCTATATAAATATACACATATACGCACATATAGATTCGCTCCTCTGACTCCAACCTTGTTCTCCCTCTTCCCTCCTCTTCCTCCTCCTCCTCCTCCTCTCCTCTCCCCCCCTTCCCCTCAGACGGGGTTCGACCCGATCCGTGCGATTCTGCGGGCGATCTGGTCCGTCCCCAGCCGAGGGCACCAGACAGACGGGGCCAGACCAGGAGGGCCTACAAGGAGTCTCGGGAGCAGGCATTCCCATGCGAGATCGTGCTCTCTGGCCCAGGGGGCAGGGATGAGGTCACGGGGGGGGGCAGTAGGAGGAGGAGGAGGCGGAGGAGGAGGAGGGGGATTCATCAGCGATGTTGCACCCCCTCCGATTTCCCTCTTCATCCTTCATAGATCGCAGCACGGTTTTTCCATTGCGGGAAGTGCCCTGTTGAACGGCACTTGTTTCACTTGACGCTGTTGCACCCCCTCCAAGTGCCCTCCTTCTAGATCCCAGCACGGTTTCTCCATTCCGGGAAGTGCCCTGTTGAACGACAATTGTTCCAACCGCCTGAGAATCTTCAGTCGTGCCAGTGCACCATTCCTGGGCTTTCAACGCCGCGGATCGGCATGACCCTTGCGTCCAGGCGGCACTAAACCACACCAACGTGGGACGTCAAGACCAGGTGCGAATCAATGTGATTGTTGCGACCAGGCGGCACTGAAGCGAGAGCCGCACTTGAAACGGCCCGCCCTCCATCCTTGAAGCTGCTTGCCAGCTTTTGAGACAAGCGTGCGCGGCACCAAAGCGAGAGCCACGTCTTGAAAACCACCCGCCCTCCTTCCTTGAAGCGTGACGCATCCCAAGTTACGCACAGGATCATGAATGGTGAGGAAGTCTTAGGCGACACACCCTGTGTCCGCCATATCAACGCGTCTGGGGGTGCGACAGGGAGAAGTGATCTATGAGAAGAAAGGGGAGGGAGGGAGGGAGGGAGGGAGGGAGGGATGGCGGCGGCGGGGAGGAGAGGAGGAGGAGGAGGGAGGGAGGGCGGGAGGGAGGGAGGGAGGGAAGGCGGGAGGAGGTGAAGGAAGAGGAGGAGGAGGAGGAGGAGGAGGACGAGGAGGAGGAGGAGGAGGAGGAGGGGGTGGAACGTCAGGACGAGGAGGAGGAAGAGGAGGATAGGAGGATGCGGATGATTCAGCGAGTACAGTGCAAGGCCACGATGCAGCTTCCAAGGAAGGGGGATGGGGGGGGGAGGGATACTCCCCCCCCGACCAGAACAAAGGACTCGCCCAGCAGCTTCACGACGAGGAGCCATCCATCCTGCGCAGACCGCGCGCGCGCCATGCCCGCGGGAGCGAGCCCCACCAGGCACCAAAGGGCACACCTGGCGCCCGGCAGCCCGCGACACCTGACAGCCTTAACTGTCGCGATGCGCCCGTTGTGAAACGCAACACGTGCCGTGCTCAAAACGTCCGTGTCAATACGTTCCGTGTCGGCCCCATGTATTGGCCCACGTTTTGGCGAACGCATCGCGTCGGATCCACGTTTTCCGTCGACATGTTGCGTCGCGTATCAATACGCTGCGTGCTGCGTGTTGCGTATCGGGGCAGCTGAGCTGACAGCACGCAAAGGGTGCCACCCAGGGCGTGCCCGAACACGCCTAGCACGGCGGCGCCTTCCACCATCATCCCATACCCAAAATCGAAGGAGAACAAAACGCCGTACACAAACTTGGCGCTCCGCGCGGACCTCTTGGATCCGTGCTGGGCCCCCTCCGGCGGCGATCCTGGCGCGCTCCGCGCGCCAGGTAAGGGGGGTCCAGCGCAGATCCGAGAAATCCGCGAGGAGCGCCAACAGCCTATATTTATGGCGTTTTGTTTATCTTATAATCCCATCCAAGAGGCATGCACCGCACGGGATCGTGCGATCGGCACACACGCGTGTACCATGCAGTCGGTGATGGCCGCCTCGTGCACTTCGAGGCCCTTCTCAGCATCCATAGCCGTGCCGTACACTTCACACGGCTGCCCATCTTGCTCCAGAAACCCGGCGTCGCTTCCACGACCGCACCATGCTTCAGCAGGCAGGGGGCATATACCGCACAATACTGTGCGATCGGGACGCACGCTTGAACCATCTCGTCGCGGATCAGCTCCAACATCTGCGTCGTCGAACATGCGTTGTTCCTCCACGATCCTCAAGCTCTCGCCAGCGGGGCCAGACCCGATGCCACCAGCGGGCACATCCATCACTTACTCCAGCAGGCCGATGCCCTCGCCCCTGGGGGTCGTGCTTGGCAACGGCCGCCTTCTCGTCGGGGCGCACCTGGCGGTCCCCGAACTCCTGCCCAGCGCCACGCTCCTCCTGGTAGTCGGGCAGCTGGAGGCGACGCCCTCCACGCCCTCGGACGCCACCTCCGCCTCCCCCATGCCCACGCCAGCGCTGGCCAGCGCGGGTCCGCCAGGTTGATCCTGCGGCTTCGGCTCCTGCGACTCCGAGTCATCCCCGCACTCGCACTGCGACCAAGCGCAACTCCTCCACCAGCGATGGGGCGGGGGGCGACGACGAACTCGGGCGAGCGAAGGCGAGCGCGGAACTCTTCGATCTCCACCGCCGTGATCCCAGAGGGGGCCGTGGGGAGCGGCGCCAGGCCAGGCGGTACACGGTGTCGAGCCCAGTTGCCCGAGGTGCCGAGGTCCTCGGCCAGCGCCGCGAGCTCGTCCAGGCCAGTGAGCTACGGTCGAGGCCTCATGGCCGCCCAGCGCATCGCCTGGGGCCCAAGGGGCCCCCGGCAGCCCCTCCAGAACGTCAGCTCTCGTGCTGATGGCAGGCGCCCGCGACTCGCCCGACAGCGGCGCGCCATTCGCGTCGGCGCGCCCGGCCAGCGTGCGCGCCGACGCCGCAGCCCAGCGCCGCTTGCCGTCGGGCTCGAGGTCCGCCACGGGCCGCTTCCGCGCGCAGCTGGGCGCACGCCGCCGAGCGTGGGCCGCCCGACCTGCCCGACCTGCCTGAGCCAGCATGGCTACGGAGGAGGAGGAGGGCTCGGGAGGGGAGGAGGAGGTGTTGGAGGAGGAGGAGAAGGAGGATGTTGACGGCCCAGAAGGCAGAACAAATCGGCCAATCGGCCAAATCGGCCAAACCGGCCAAATCAGGGGCACACGTGTACAAAGAGGAAGCAGGCACAAGCTGAATCCGTCCTCCGGCCTCCTATTATTGGCTAACCCTCAATAGCGCCGAAACCTCGTGCCTTAGGGGGGAAACCAACAAATAGGAAGCAACGGGCAGGACCGCAGCATTGGACCAGCGACCGCACCCCGCAGGGTGAGGTCGCCCCCTGGCCCCTTCCCCCCCGGCCAAAAAGCGGGGCAGGAGGAGGCCCCACCAGGGGCGGGGTTGGTCAAGTGCTGGGCCTACCCCGTAAGACAACACGGAGCGGTACCCAGCGCCAGAACCTCATCATGACACGGCCAGCAATTTGCCCGCGGCAATTAGCATTCCAACCAACGTGGTTGGACGCTGTGAGCCGCGGGCACCTGCCTCCGCATCATCATCATCGGCAGTGCACCTCATACAGGAGGTGCCACACGGCGCCCAGGCTGCACCGCTTGGCCGCGGTGGCAGGGACTTTAAAAATACCCTGGCCTGACGGCCAGAGGAGAAGGAGGAGGAGGAGGAGGAGGAGGAGAAGGAGGAGGAGGAGGAGGAGGAGGTGCTGGAGGAGGAGGAGGAGGAGGAGGAGGAGGAGGAGGAGGAGGTGTTGGAGGGAGACGGCACGAGGGAAGACGAGGAGGATGATGAGGATGACCAGAGCAAGCCCAGGATGCATCCGCGGTGCTGCAATCTGCACCCTCCCGTCCCAGGTCCCCGACCCATCAGTCCGTGCACGTGTGGATCTCCACTGCGGGGAGCGCTCCCCCCCATGCGTGACGAGCGTCCAGTGGGCCTGCCACTCGGGCGAGAGCTCGGTTTGTCAAGGCTCCATCTCCCGTCTGTGCAGCAACAACGCAAAGACGTAGGATTAAGTCGGGCCTGCCCCTCCACAGGAGGAACATTCAAGATATAGTTTTTGGGGGAAAAAATGCCTGGGGACGTTGTTTCCTGTATTTTTTTGGATATGTTGGAATATTGTTTGACTATGTATAAGTTTGTGCCCCAACCCCCCTTGTAGGGGGCCATGCCCGTCCTAAACGTAGGATGAGCGCGTCCACGGACGCGGCCAGCGACGGCCCCGTTCTGCCAAGGAGCCTGCCCTCCGTCCGTGCAAGGTCTGCGCGCAAGCTCACGATGTCGCCAATCCTTCTCCTCCTCCTCCTGCTGCCGTGGAAATCTCTCCAGCGAGCGCAGTCAGGAGTTAAGTCGGGCATGCCCCTCTACAGGAAGAATATTCAAACATGGTCGAACATTAGTTTCGGGACGATTCTTTAGTATTTGTCTTGCTTATGTTTGCATGTGTCTGTATTTGTCGTGCAGAGCCCGCCTGTAGGAGGACACGCCCGACATAATCATAGAGTTATCAGGACAGCTCACGCGGTAGCAGCATTCTGAAACCGAGCTTGCCTCCATTGTAGCTGTTGGAAACGTTTTAAAGCGGATGTGCGCGGCGATGATGCGAGAGCCGAGTTTCGAACACCACCTCGCTCCATCTGTTTTCCTGATCGGTTTTTTCACGAGTGTGCTCGGCGCTGATGCGAGAGCCACATTTGGAAAACGGATCGGCCTCCACCTTCGTAGTTGTTGGAAACTCTCAAGACTGATGTGCGCGGCGCTATGGCCTGCAATTTGAAGTCGACTTGCCCTCCACCCGCGTAGCTGTTGGAGCTTGTACAACGCATGCGCGTGGCGCTGTAGCGAGAGCCGCACTTTGGAAAGCACCGGCCCTCCATCCTTGTAATCGTTGGGGTTGTCTTAGCTTCAGGGCCGTAAGTTCTAAGGGCGTCTCTCGCGAAGCGCCTGGCCCTGACGGCGGACACGACTGGTGGTGCGACAAGGCGGAGTTATTCATGAGAAAGAAGGATCAGGGAGCAGGAAGAGGAAGAGGAGAACGGGGAGAAGGGGGATGGGCAGAGAAAGGGGAGGAGGGGGTCCGTTTCTGTCCCCTCTCCCCCCCCCCCCCGTGGCAATGAGAGTGGCTGGCTTACCACGGCTTCATCGCCAGGGACCTCGGCAAGGAGCCTCCTCCCTTCCTCGACCTCCTCTCGTCTCCTCCGTCGTTCTCGTCCTTCCTGGCCTCCGCAGCGTTCTTCCTCTCGACTTCGTCGTTGTATTCGTCCTCTTTGTCATTGTCGTCGTCGGGATCCTCTTCCTCCACATCATTCCCCTCCTTCTCCTCTTTCTGCATCAGCTGTTGCTGCTGCTCCTCTTCTTCGTTCTCGTTGACCTTGCCCTCCTCCTCCTCCTCGACCTCTATTTCATTATTCTCTTCCTCGTGCTTCGCCTGTTCCTCTCTGTTCAACCTCTTTCTCTCCCATCGCACTCTCCTCCCTCCCCTCCCTCCCCTCCCTCTCCTCCCTCTCCTCCTTGTCTTGACCTGCCCTGGGACGTGTCGTGGCCGGTTCTCGAGGCGGATCTGGCCGTGGCGACGAGGGCGCCCTGAGACGACCAGAACGGTCCCCGAGACGTCCTCGAACCTCGGTCCTCGTCCTCCCCCGCCTCCCGCTCATTGGTTCTCTAAACTCGGGGGCACCTCCCACTCTCTGCGCCTCCCTCTTCTCCTCCCTCTCCTCATCCTCCTCCTCCTCCTCCTCCGCCTCCTCCTCCTCCTCCTCCTCCTCCTCCTCCTCCCTCTTGTCCTCCTCCTCCCCGGCGCAGGACCCGTGGGCGCGGCCGGCCGAGGGCTCCGGCTGCCTGCCGCGGGCCTTCGACGTCCCCATACTGCTCGGCGCGCTGGCGTGGTCGCTGCTCGTGAGGACGGCGGCGGCGGCGGCGGCGACCCCCGGCATGGCCGCGTCGTTAAAAAAACAGGACGGAGGTGTTTGGCCATTTTCGGCCTCGGGCGGCCCTCGCGGGGCCCTCGCCGGGCCCCGGGCCCTAACGGCGATGTAGGTTCCGGCAGTGCGGGAACGCGTGCCTCGCGCCTTCCTGCAGTCCACTGCGTCGTGTTCGCTCGATCCATTCGCAGATTGGAAATGTGGGAAAGTGTGGTTCGTGATGTCCTACACTCAAGCAGTGGCGAAGCGTTCTTGCTCGCCTATAGCCCTACCAAACCATGTTCGAAGAACCTTTTGTGGTTCCCACGAAATATTATTAGAACATTTCTGGCTGGGACTGTCTTATTTTAACACATCGGGTTTGTGCTCTAAGAACATTGTTCTTGTTATTAGAACATTTTTAGGTTCTAAAGAACACTTCGCAGTATGACTGTAGGAATGCCGGGAAGGGCGGTCCCTGCTCAATGCACGTTGGTTCCCAACATCACCGTTAATCAACATCGCCGTTAGCCCAGCCTCGGAAGGGGCGATCCTTCTCAGAAGGCTCGGAAGTCCCCTAGCCTTCTGAGAAGTTTCCCAAGCCTTCCCCGAAGGCAAAACAAACTTATCAGAAGGGGCGAAGGCTTCTGAGAATTCCCGCCGCCTTCTGAGAAGGCCTCCTCCTTCGCACTCCCCCCCTCGCTCGCCGCCGAGTGACGAGGAAGTCCGAGCAGGAACAGATGCCGACATCGCTGAACGTCCTGTAGAGCCTTCGTCGCCACGGCCGGATTCTCTTCGACATTCTGAACCGAACGCACACCCGGAGAGGCCCAGGGAGTTGCGGTGTCGGTACCTTTTGGTATCCCAAGGGCAGGCGAGACAGAGGACGAGGACAGGGACGAGGCCGAGGTGACGACGGGGAGAGCGGGGCGAAAACCAGGGAGGGCGAGGACGACGGAGGAGGCGAGATGGGGCCTCTTTTTGGCCTACGGGAGGCTCCTCGTCATCACGGCAGGGCCCGCCTCGAAATTCTGGCCAGAACACACCCCATGATGGGTCTAAGGGACGACTTCTGACTCCCTGATGGCGGCGATGGCGATGGCGACGACGACGACGTCGCGTCGTCGTCGTCGTCGTCGTCGTCGTCGTCGTCGTCGAGGTCGCTTCGAAGGTTTATTGCGGTTAAGCTGGCCTCCTGGACGCAGCTTGGAGCATTGGCCAGGACCAGGGCGGGGACCGATCATGAGCGGAAACAGGTCGGGCGCTGGCCCTTGGGAGCCAGACCTCCCCAGACCACACTCTCCTCCTCCTCGTCCTCCTAGGGTCCTAGGGAAGAGGGAAGGGGGAGGAGGAGAAGAAGGACGAAGAGGAGAAGGATGAGGATGATGATGAGGAGGAGAAGGAGGTGGAGGAGAAGGAGGTGGAGGAGAAGGAGGTGGAGGAGAAGGATGTGGAGGAGGATGAGGATGAGGATTGGGAGGATGAGGAGGAGGAGAAGAAGGAGGAGGAGGAGGAGGAGGAGGAGGGAGGATGACGGCGGCCTTGGTCCTTTGTGGGGGTTCGAGGACCTCTGGGAACCTCTGGGGACAACCTCGGGGGTGGCAGACCTTCAACATCTTGCCATTGCGAAGGGAAGCAGGCGGGGCCATCGTCAGAAGCGACAGCGGACATTGATAAGTGTTCAAGCGTTTGGTGCGGTTCTGCATGGCGCCGACGTCACGGGCTTTGGGCCCCTTGTGGTGTTAATCAGCTCCGCTCTCTAGCCATATCAAAGTCGGCCCGGCAGCGACGACAGAGTATCAAAGAAACTTTGGTTATTAATTTGAAGCTACAGAGCCTCATAAGGATCTTCACCTTCCTATCGCTCTACGTCATCCCGTTTGTGGAGATCGTTGAGATCTTCTTTGGGAAGAACATGCGCGAGTATTTCTGCTCCCGTCATCATGAATGGGAGCTCTCGATGGGCGACGACCTGGCAGGACCAGAGCTCATGTCCCAGAACATGCTCCTAGACCTGTGCACTCTGCCGCTGCAGCTGTTCTTTCTGGCGCTTGTGGTTGCTATTGCGCTTCGCGTGCTCACAGCACTGAAATGTTTTGGCAAGCATGGAAGCATTGGGGACTTATGGCTGCACGGTTGTTCTGCAGCTGTTGCGAGGCTAGCTGCCCTGATGGCCGTACTTGTGATTATCGTAGGCACATGGTCGGTCCTTCCTCGATCCTCACTCCCGCACTCCCTCATTTCGTCTCTCCTCCCTCACTCCTCCCTGCTCCCTGCTCCCTCTTCCCTCCTCCTCTCACTCTCATCCCTCTTCTTCCCTCCTCCTTCCTGCTCCTGCTCCTGCTCCTACTTCTCATACTATGTGTTTTCCTCGCACTCCTCTTCTTCTGCCCCATGTCCTCATCATGCCGAAGGCACTACGACCTTCTTTGAGAAGTGGGCCACCGAAATGCATGTTCACAAGGGGAGGGGGGCTTGTGCAGCATACACCGCGCACGTGGAGAAGGTGCGCCAGAATTGCAGCAGCCTGAACGGGCGATGGCTGTCGTGGGCGTCGCGGTACCACGAGGTTGAATTCTATGAAGTTGCGAGGGGGCACGGTTCGCATCAACGGAACGGTTCTGTTATCTTTCCAAGTATCGTTCACAATTTGAAGCGCATGAACAGCACCATTGCAGAGGGGGTTACCCGTGGGGCAGAGGACTTAGCGCGTACACTAAGCGATTCGCTCATTCCTGCAACCTGGACGCTCTTGATGGTTGCGATTCTGGGTACGTTGATGTTCGTACCTTTCTTCCCGAGCACGATAGCAACGATCGTGATGTTGGTGTTGCCCATCATGGTTTCGGCTCTGTTTGGAAGCATCGTTCAGTGGAGGGTCTTCGGTACCCTACGGAGGATACAGCTTCTTGCCTGGAACCATGCTTATTACAGAAGTGACACGTGGGCCATGATGTATCAAGGCTCCCTGATCGCTTCCATGATTATTCTGCCGTTCTATTTATTTCTTCGAGGCAACAGCCACAAGTTCTACCGACGTAGCCTGCGACGTGCCTTCTTCGCGGGTGGCAAAGAGGTGCCTTGGGGCAGGATCGCAGACAATCCGTTTTGCCCGATGCTCATCCTGAATGCCGCGGTCATAGACTACATCCAGTTGCGCTGTCACGCGAATCCGACACTGCGCTTGGGGAAGGGGAGGGCCTGCAGGCCTGAGGTGTGGGGGGCAGGTTCTTGAATCCGCATGTGCGCCACGGAGGTTCCCAGCCGCTTTTTCCCCGCTGTTGGCGCATTGTTTCCTAATAGCGTTTCGCTCGAGGGTTGTAATAGTTTTAAAAGACGACCACAGAAGAGCCCCACAGGGGGGACGTGGAGCCCTAGACCTCCCAGTCCGACAGCCGTTTCGCCCACGGTTTCTTCACATTGTTTCAGCAATCGTGTTCTCGCCGCCATGCAGGCTACATGTCTGGTCCAGACGGCCACGTTCTCTCGTACAAGACATACGCGAAGGTACATATGGCCGTGTTCTCACCCCTATCCCCTCTAGCCAACCTCCTGCTCCTCGACCCGCTTCTTCACCCTTGCTGCCATTAGGGTACTTTGCCCGGGTACTTTTGGCGTGGAATGGCCGCTGATCCATTCTGTCGCAGCACCAGGTGGACCGTGGGGGCTGGGCCACAGTGTGCGGACAGTGGGGCGGGCGGGCGATGGCTCCGGCAAAGACGGTAGAACGTCAAGGGTAACGGTCCGGACTGGCCAAGGCAAGACCGTATTACCAAACATACTTTTCCATCAATCCCCACGCTTAGGACCCTAGGGTGTTGAGCTTCTTTCCATCTACGACCCGTAATGTTGGGACTAATTGGTCGGATATGAATATGTATACGGTTGAACGCATATGCGCAAAAGGTATGTGTGCATATATATATATATATATATATATATACACGTAAAATACAACCTGTCTGTCTGTCTGTCTGTCTGTATGTATGTATGTATGTATGTACGTACGTACGTACGTAAGTACGTACGTACGTACGTACGTATGTATGTATGTATGTATGTGTATATACAACATATGAATACATACCGCCCCACCCTGGCCCCAGGTCCCACACCTCCCCGTGACATCTCGGGGACGCTCCCGGTGCCGCTCCCCCGGCCTTTCCGGGGAGCCTCCACAGTGCTCCAGGAGGGCCCAAGACGCCTTCCAGGAGCCCCCAGAATGCGAAAGGATGGCCCAAGACGCTCCCAAGCAGCCCAAGTCAGCCGTCCGACGGCTCTCGAGGCTCCCAGGTGGCCTCCAAGAGACCCCAAGAGAGGTCCGAGAGGCGTCCCGGGACGGCCCGAAGAGGCCGACATCGTTGATTTTGATTTGTTTTTTCTATATTTTTGGCCTTCTCACGTTTTCGAGCTTCCAACGCTCGAAGCACGCCGAAGAGCCGCCCAAGACAGACCCTCAGGACGGCCCCAAGACGGGCCAAGAAGGCTCCAAGACTGCCGAAGAGGCGCCCAGGACAGCCCCAGACCACTCCAGAACAAGCCCAAGATGGGCCCAAGAGCGGGAGCAGGAGGCTTCCAGAGACGTCCGAGAGGCCGCCGGGACCCCCCAGAGGCCCCCAACACACCCCCGATCGCTGAGAGCCCCAAAAAGACCCCGACGAGGCTCCAAGAGCAGCCCAAGAGAGCTGCGAGAGCCGTCCCGAGAGAGCCAAAAGAGCAATACATCGTTGATTTCCAATGGTTTCTCTAATGTTTTTCGCCTCCTCACGTTTTCCCGTTTCCAACCCTCGAGGATCGAGGATTTTGAAAAGAAAGCGAATTCCCAGATCTTGTATCTCATTTTTCAAAGTGGACTCCCACTCGGAGATCCCACACATCCCCTGGCATCTGGCCGGTACCGCGCCTCCCGATTTCCCGGGGGGCCCTCAAGACGCCCAAGGACAGCCCAAGACGACCCCAAGGAGCCCCCAGAACGTAAAGAACGGCCCATTACGCTCCCGCGCAGCCCGAGACACCCTTCCGACGGCTCTCCAGGCCTCCAGGAGGCCTCCAGAACCCCCAGGGGGTTCCGGAAGATCCCACATCCTTGAGGGGCCCGGCTGACAAAACCCGCGAGGCACAAACAAAAAACAGCGCCGAACAGCGCCGAGGAATTGGAAACATTGGAAATCCCACAATTCCTTTTTAAAAATTTGGCCCCTGGTCTACTCTTGCACAACAGACCACAATTCAGACCCCCCTCACCTTCCAAAAAGAACCCAGGAAGCCTTTGAGGGCCCCAAATCGGTGAGTACCTGAAGGAAATTAAGGATTTCTGCGTTTCCGCACTTCCCCTTCTATTCGAGTCCGAGGCTTGCGCAGGGCCTCCAAGACAGTCCCTGGACGCAAGAAGCGACCAACATGATATTACATGAGTTAGTTGATCAAGCCTAGCTAGAACTTGAGCGCGCACGAAGCGAGCGCGATAGTTCTAATATATTTAGATGTATCGTAGTGTTGCTCATTGTGCTCGTGGGTTGTGTGCACTAGTTTCCACCTGTCGAAGGCCATCATCCCCGGAGTTGATCAGTCGGCGTGCTCTGCGGTTTTCCCAGAATTTACGCTGGTTCCTGCCTGCGCCTCGCAACACCAGTCGTTCCGCTTGCAAAAATCTGCCATAGTTCTCTCGAGCTTAGGCGAACACATGCTTGTTCGGTCTGGTATGAGCAGGTGCACGAGCGAGCACTGAAACGTATGATCACCAAATGCTATGTATCTCAGCGCGGGCCCGATGGGCCACGAATCGTAGTATGCAACGCTGTCAGTACCCACATTTGCCAGAGATTGTGCGTGTGGTTCCCAGCCGAAGCGTTGGGTACTGGCTGTGTCTGCGGTTGGTCTCTTGGCTGTGTGTGGGGGAGCCCGCAATTGTCCGCAACCCTTTGACACTGTCCCAGCGTTGCTAGTTGTCAGCGGCACTGTGAGACGAGGAAGGCCATGGGAATTACCCTGTGACGTACCCAACCCGTCGGCACCAAGGGACGGTATAAGGTCTGCCAACAATGCTGTGACGGCAACACTGCAAGATACGGTGCACGGCGGATATCTATATTGTGGGAAGTGTGCGTAGCCGACTCGCAGAACAGAGGTACACAAGGCTAGGAGGCATTATGTTGGGAAGGAGAAGTAAAAGGAAGACATCGGGGTGGAAGCACTGTCACTTTGGCAGAAGCAGCGAGATGATGAAGCATGGGCAAGATTTGGTTACACAGGCGGAAACGCAACCAGACAATGAAGTGTCGCGTTTTTCCATGCTGGAATAGTCAACACCTGCTCGTCGTCCTCCTCCTCCTCCTCCTCCTCCTCCTCCTCCTCCTCCTCCTCCTCCTCCTCCTCCCTCTCCTCGTCGTCGTCCTCCTTCACCTTGTCCGCCGCCTCCTTCTCATCCTCCCCCCTCTCCTCCTCCCCCACCCCTCCTGCGCCCGATCTGCGTGGGACCCCACAGTGTTGCGCACCCCAGCAGCCTTCAAATCTGCGACAGTTTCACACTTCGCGGCCCCCCCGGGTTGGCGAGGCCCCCAAGGTCTGCGTGAAACCCCACCGTGTTGCTCCCCCCCAGCATCCTTCAAAAGCAGCTACAGTTTCACACTTCGCAGCCCCCACCCAGGGGTGGCGAGGTCGCCTGGTCCCCCCGCCAGCCTTCGAAAATGGTGACAGTTTCACACTTCGCGGCCCGCCATGGATGGCGAGGTCCCGTTTCGATTTGAGTGTGGCCCCATTGTACAAGCTCCCCCAGCAGCCCTCAAAAGTGGCAACAGTTTCGCATTTCGCAGACCCCAGGGGATGGCGAGGTCCCGGTTGGTCCTGCGTGGGGCCCCACTGCACGGGCTCCCCCAGCAGCCGTCGAAAGTGGCGGCAGTTTCACACTTCGCGGCCCCCCAGGGATGGCGAGGTCCCGGTTGGGTCTGCGTGTGGCCCCTGTGTGCTGGCTCCCCCAGGAGCCCTCGAAAGTGGCGGCAGTTTCACACTTCGCAGACCCCCAGGGATGGCGAGGTCCCGGTTGGGTCTGCTTGTGGCCCCACTGTGCGGGCTCCCCGAGCAACCTTTAAAATTGGCGACAGTTTCGCACTTCGCAGCCCCCCAGGGATGGCGAGGTCCGCTTTGGTTTGCGTGTGGCCCCACTGTGCTGGCCCCTCCCGGAGCTTTCGAAAGTAGCGACAGTTTCGCACTTCGCGGCCCCCCAGTGATGGCGAGGTCCCCGTTGGGCTTGCGTGTGGCCCCACTGTGTGGGCTCCCCCAGCAACCTTTGAAATCGGCGACAGTTTCACGTTTCGCGGCCCACAAGAGGTATGCAAGAGGAGAGAGCCAAGATGAGGGTGGGGGGGGGGGCGAGGAGAAGGAGACGGGAGTTGGCACCCCTCTGCTCTATTCATTATTCCGACGGTAGGACCCCGCACGATAATCTATTTAGATTGCCCTTCGTTCTTTCCTTTTCGCCTTGGCCGAACCCTCCGCCTCGCCCTCTGTTGCGCCTCCTCCTCATCCTCCGTCTCCTCCTCCTCCTGCTCGCCCTCCTTGTTCAATTTATCCTCTTCATTTTTGTTATTTTCCTCATCCTCCTCTTCCTCTTCCTCCTCCACCTCCTCCTTCTCCCCCCCCTCATCTCCATCCCAACTACCTTTCCTTTTTCCTAGCAGGGGGGCGCATGCCGATCTTCCTCGGGGCCCTCGCAGCCGCGCCCAGTAGGGGAGGGTTCTCCGATTGGTAAATCGCGACGCCGTCGGGGTAACGGCCGTTGGGATAACCCCGCGAATTGCTGGGGAGCGAGAGTAAGTTGTTGGGATAATCCCGCAGGCATTGAGTTAGTCGCGCTCGCGCTCAAGAAGGAGGCAACACGAAGTTCGGCTCTACCGCGAGCTGCTGCACCTCAGCCCTGGATTCCATAGTCATTCCCGAGGAGCCGAGACAGTGACGACAGTTACAAGGTTCCGATGGCCCGCTCGGATTACCAACATGAAGTGTGGACCCCATAGGGGGGGGGGGGGGGCTCCCGCCGAAGACTTCCTCACAATTCACTCACAGACGAAACTCCCGCCTAAGACTCCTCGGTATTCAGTCGAGAGGAACCGAACAAGTGACGACAGTTACAGGGTTCCGACGACCTGCTCGGATTACCAACATGAGCTGTGGACCCCATAGGGAGGGGGCTC